ATATATATATATATATATATATATATATATATTACATGAATACCTGCGACCAATAATCTCCGTGTTCGTTCGGACCTCCAGGTGATCTGGACATCCCGCCTGCGGAAACGGGTTTCCGGCGCTATCCACGTAATAGGCTGTGCTGATACTCGTCAGTCGGACTGTTATGACGTTGTTAGCAGGCGACTGGAAACGTAATATATACTTAATTAAACACACATGTACATGCGTGAACAGTAATTAGTCTGTAATTAGTAGTGTGTTAATTAAACACACATGTACATGGGTGAACAGTAATTAGTCTGTAATTAGTAGTGTGTTAGTTAAAAACAGCATTACATTAGGGGTAAATAAACGATGTGCTGAGATTTGTAAGTCGAAGCACAGAAATGACGCCTTTGGCGTGCGACTAGAACATAGTAATAGTAAAACTAAATACATAGCATGTTAAATGTCTTAAATTACTAAATTGTAAATAGTAAATATAGTAAATTTAGTAACGCAAAAATTAGTATATGATATATAACTATCATAACATCACGTGTAAGCAACGTGTTACGTATATCTAACGTATTTTTCACGACCCTATTTCTTTATTTTATAATGGGCATATAACATACTAATAATAACAGGTTATTATTCACTTCTACTACTTGGCTTTATTTACTTTCTGTGTATACAGTTATATATTTAGTTTTACATTTTAATCGGTCTATTATATTCTCTAGAAATCACGAAAAATACGCGTTGCCAAATGTTGATTTCTATATGAAATTAATTCCATTGTTTGACATTGTACTACAGTTAACACCCGCGTTACGAAGATGTGAGGTACGTGAATTCGATCATGCGGATTTTGTAAATTATGACCACTAAATATAGTAAGCTTCGGGATACGGCACGAATGGAAAAGGACTGCTGTTCGACAGTGAAACCATCTCCGCAGAACCACGTGTATGTTAGAGAAAGCACGTCGCCGAATGCCACTTTGGGCAATTACACTGTGTGACAGACATACAGTGAATCTACCTCTATATAACGGCCACCTGTGTACGAATGCCATATGGGCGTTTCTCCTGGTTGAGGGTTACATGCATGTGTATCTACCGCAACTGTCGCGCGTTGACAACGCTAACTATGACCGCTTAAAACAACTTAACTGCGAACACTCTACTATTAGCAGACACTTACGCAGCAGGCTAATAGCGTAGACATATATAGTCATTACTCATGCAGCAGTCAGCTGACACTGCAAGTACGTGGAAGAAGTGACTTCTCTACATTATTGACGTATTTACCTTTAACAGCACGGACGTCTTGAATGTGGTTCCGTCAGGAGAAACAGTGTCAGTGATGGTTCCGCTATCACCACATGCGAGCTCTCTGATCTCACCGAACTTCGAGGCTGTGTAATTAAATGAATGAATGAATGAATGTCTCTATAAATGTATGTATGAATGTATGTGTGTGTGTGTGTGTGTGTGTGTGTGTGTGTGTGTGTGTGTGTGTGTGTGTGTGTGTTCATATAATTTAACTACACGTACTTCCTGTAGATGGCAGAACGTTCTCGCAAAATTGCCCAGTGAAGTCCTCTGGGCAGAGACAGCTAGTGCAGTCGTTCGCCTTTTGTATTCCTCGCTCACAGTTGTTACTAATTCCCGCGCACACACCTAAAACGCAAAAATAAATGTCCTAAACTAATTTCAAAGCTATCTTACTCGAAGCACGCCTGGCTTGTATTGTAGTACGGTTTTATATCGCGGCGTGACAAATAAACGTGACAAATAGTACGTAATAACGAACGGACACGCCAGTGGACGTGCGGGGTAGGCAGGACGTATAGTAGATAGGCTGGACACTGAAAGCTCACCGGACACTCGACTTAAGCAGGTCGTGGAACTAGGCAGGCGAGGCTTGATATGAAGAGGCTGCATGGTCGATTAAATCCTGACATGGCAGCAAATAGAGCGAAAACAGGGAGGACAAGTAGAGTAATAACAGGAAGGGGCGGTCAGAGGAGGAGGAAGACGCCATTTGTGATTTTTGAAAGTCCTGACTCGAAAAAATGTATTGCTGGTATGATGTGGTCAAATCAATTTTTCTATGCTATAACTGCATAAAGTATTGGTGTTTTGAATGTTGGTGTAATCAGTGATATTTTCGCTGTCAGGTGAGACTATATTCTCGTTGTGCGATAATCAGACTAATATATAGACCCCGGATAACTTCCCCAGCCTCACAAAGAGATGAAGTCAGATTCATTTGTTGCGGGAATGACACTAAAAAGTAAAACACCACGAATAATACTCCACACGAAACCTGAGTACACTCGGTCGAATAATCAAAACGCACGTCCGTGGATCATGAGAATACTCGTGATAACATTGTCAAGTAGACTGCCGCTCAACTATAGTTTAATAGATGCCCTAGATGCAAAATAAGACTTGCGCAAGTGCTATTGACATTGTATTCCCAATGTACAGAATCTCATGCAGAGAATGAAGTTCATATATGATTTAATGCACGTAAACGTTGTTCAAGTAAGTTTTACTTGCAGAAATTCACTGTGAAATTTGAGTCACCATCAAACACAGTTCAGTCCTTTCTTAACGGTCAACAAATCCATGTTTACCCCTCCTCTTGAGGGTCAAAATGTCACCAGACACTTATGCTTCGCACATCAGTGCAAAGTACATTTCATGGTCCTTTCAATAAAGTCATGAAAATGGTAGGTCAGCGCTGAAACAAAAAAGTTTTCCACTCGGTGCGTTAGACCATGTTCTTAGATATGACCATTTTCTGAGATATGACATTTCCCCCACTGCCCTTTGACCTGTGACCTCTAATTTCGCGAAGGTGATGCGTTTCCTGCCCATGACTCTATATACCGAATATCAAGAGCATAGGTCGAGCCGTTGAGCTGTGTGCCACAACCTCAAGTTAAGGAAGGAATATTACCCCTCCGTTGACACATTGTACCCATTGACCCTTGACCCTAGATTCGACATCCCAAGTCCTTTTCGTGTTCCCCCTACGTCCCGAATATCAAAACCGTACGTCAAGCGGTTTAGATTTGTGCCATACTGTTGACGGACGGACACAAAAACGTCTCCTCCTATACCTTAACTTAATGAGGGAATATTCCCCCTCCATTGGCACATCGTCACCTTTGACCCTTGACCACAGATTCGGCACCCCAAGTCCTATTCGCGTTTCCCCAGGGCTACGTCCCGAACATCAAGACCGTACGGCAAGCGGTTTAGATTTGTGTCATACTGTTGACGGACGCACGGACGGAAAACGTCCGTTTCTACAAGTTCCATCTGACTATGTCCGGTGTGCTAAAAACACACAAACTGGTCTAGCCTGAGTGACCATACCGATGGTGTAGCTGCTGGCTATCAGTCTCAGATGGCTAGGTAACCTACCTGAAGCCGCACGCATAACACACGATTTTAATATATTTAAAACCTTTCTAATCAATAAACTTTAGATGATTAATTATTAATTACAGATTAGTTACCCATATGATATAGCCAGGAGTAAATAATAATGAAGGAGCAGGGTTTCTTCTGGGGAGAAATTAGACAACGGAGGTAATGGCCAGTTTGGGGAAAAAACTCGCATAATGGAATCAAAGGCGTGTTCGCGGGTCTTGATGACCTAAGCGAGCACCGTAGGCGGTTGCCCACATAGGGGGGTCCGAGGGCATGCTCCCCCGGGAAATCTTGGAAAAAATGGTGCAATTTGTTGCATTCTAAGCTATTCTGAACACATTGTATGAGACTCTTGAATCTATTTTTCAAGTTGTCAAAAAGAACAAATAAATGAAAAAACAAACGAATGAATATGAAATATTACAAGTATTCACATTAAATTATAATACCGTCATGAAATGAATAGCCACGTATGTGGATTCTGCAGGCAGACACGGGGGGAGGGGACGTAGAGGGGGTTCTAGGGGTCTCCCCCAGCAAAATTGTAAAAACTTGAATGTCTTAGACTGCATTTGAGGCACCCTGAATTCGCCTTTTAGTTTAAATCTTACTCTGTTAGCAGACCTACCAAGTATCACGCATTTCACGGGAGACTCATGTTTCTGGCTGGAATACATCTATGGCTAAACGCACGCGCCAAATGCGCATGCAAACCAGCCCGCACACGGTGCACATTCGGCACTGAGCGACACCCCTCGCTGCCGCGCGATGTACAACTCGCTTCTTTTTTTTTGGATTGAATTTGATGAGCAGTTATGTTGCAATGCCCTTTAGAGTGTTACCCGTCCGTAACCCTAAAGCCGGGCGCACACGTGGCGATTTTTATCGACAGTACCGGCGATTTTTATCGACAGCACTGTCGATAAAAATCGTCATGTGTGCGCCACCCGGCGACAATGCAACCATCTGTCAGCAACATACCACTGTATGAACTGTACGTGACCTGTTCAAACCACACCACGGGCGCTGCTAATATTTTGATCACGTGATTCAAATCATGCATTTGATTGATTAATCCAAAAACTGTTGCCTGAATCCGTCGCCTGGTCAGCACACACGTAGCGATTGTTCAGCAACTCGGCAACAAATATCAAACATGTTTGATATTCCAGCGACGAGTTTCTGGCGTCAAAATCGGTGACGCCGTGCAGCGCACACGTGGCGATTTCTCGGCGATTTTGTTGCTGGCAACAGAATCGCCGGTACTGTCGATAAAAATCGCCACGTGTGCGCCGGGCTTAACATTATCCTTAATTTACTTACCATTAAATACTAGCTACACATACAATAATGTCAATATTCCTTCACAATACACCGGTTGTGTCGACGATGACGCTGTGACGTCGCCGCAATCTAAAATGATCGATGATTAATCGATCATCAGTCGTTTTGTAAAACCGATAATCGATCATGAAATTTGGACCGATCTCCAACTCTAATTCTAGTTATATAAATTAGATCTCTATATTATACACTCCTGGTAATATATGCACTGAACTGAGGCTCCACAAGGATCGATTTTGCACTGAAACTTTTATTTGCCACGACTTTAATTATTGAAACGGCCAACTTTCTGTGCTTTGTGCTCTTACTTACAAGTTTGACTCTTAACGGGCCAGCTTCAAACCAATGTTCATACGCATCGATCGAATTAATCAAATACACAAGGTGAAGGTATATAAACACCTAAAATTACAACAGCAACCACCTTCCATGGATGTTATAGATGGCAACTTACGCCACAAACATGTAAGCTGTGTAGTAGAGGCTAAAGGTGGTACCCGTCTTACAGCCTCGTAGCTGAAGCAAGCACATGACTTATTGACAAAGTTTATCAAAATTAAAAAACGCTTTATTTAAAGGAACAGTAGCCTCTAGGTTCTAGGGTTATTTTCAGCTAATTTAGGTTATAATTGCGCTACATAAAAGTTTCATGGTTCAATCACCATTAGAATATTTTTTTTAATGTTTTAAATCTAACGACTACAGTTTGATTACAACGACGGTGGCGCACTCAAAGCGCACGATCTGAAGAAATGCGCAAAACCACTTTCTAGTCAAGGGCTACAGACCGAGGTATTTCTTATTTATTCATTTAAAAGCAAAAGGATTGTAATATCTTATAAACGACATATAGTTTCAGTTATAATATGGATAATTTGCCTAAAATAAATATCGTTCGTTAAATAGCATTTAGGTATAAAATATATTGCACTTTTGTGATTAGCCCTCGGTCATTTACCTGCAAAATAAAAATGCAAATACGCAACTTTTTCAGGGTGGCCAGCACGGTCGCGGGTGTCATGGCGCCGTTCAAATTCGTAGCGTTGATGTGTAATAATTAATTAAGTATCTGGTGACAAATACATGTGGGTATATAGACGTGATTTGTTATACAGTAAGTACAGTTGTATGCAGTAAAATTGCTAGAGGCTACTGTCCCTTTAATTTTAAATATACTTAAAAATTACAAGATATCAAAGAAAGTGTGTAAATGTAAAATGTGCACGATTGGGAAGCAAATAGCGCGTAGACTCATTAAATAAACTTTTTGCAGTGGCTACGCGTCCGGAACCGGTCGACTAGCCTCCGGACATCCACTCACACAGTGATCGCGCGACTTGCGTACACGCATGATTGCGCAACGGGACGCTCTGCTGATTGCCGTAAATATACAATATATGCACTGCTGCCGTCTATCCTTTCATCCGTCCTCTCTCTCTCTCGCTCTCTCTTTCACACACACACACACTCACAGCTCTCTCTCTCTCTCTCTCTTTTCACACACACACACACACACACCACCACACACACCACACACACACACACCACCCTCTAGCCATCTCTCCCTCCTCTCTCCGTCTCTTCCTCTTTCTCCCCCTTCGCTCTCTCTTTCTCTCTCTCTTCTCTCTCTCTCTCTCTCTCTCTCTTCTCTCTCTCTCCTCTCTCTCTCTCTCTCTTCCCTTTCTAATAACGTCCTGCTTAATTATCGTTCATGATCTTTGATAGTAATACTTATCATAAGAAAGATAATAAACTCATCATAAACTCATCACAGTAAAATTGGTAAAATTCATATTCGATTGCCAACGTTGCTGTATCGTCTAACATTTGATTGGTCGTTGATGTTGACATTGCTTGTGATTGGTTCTGGCGGATTATTGAAACTCTTATTTTTTAGTTTCAACCTATAGAGATGTATAAATAGTACATTATATGATTATTATTTTATTAGTTTATTTATACATCTCCATCGTTTCAACACAAATTTTTTTCTAAGTTACCGAAATTCAGTTGTATATTCGCCCGCTTGCATACAGGCTGTCGTCGCGATCGGGTTTACCCGTGCACTCTATGCGAATATACATTACCGGGCGAAACTCGCGACGGGTGACATGCACATATTCATCCATTCACAATATGCACTAGACCAATAAATTGTGCCTCAACACACACACACACACACACACACACACAACACACACACCACAGCTCTTCAATGAGCCACGTAGGGATCGCGTCAGGCAGCGCCAGCGGCAACTGTACGCGGCTAGAGATAAGGCGTTGCTATGCAATTAATGCAAAACACATGTGCGAAAAGCTACAATCGGCTGGAGCGTCAGTTACTCATAACAATTCTGTACACATCATTCCTCCGCGGGTGAAGTAGTTCAGATATTTTACCAGCGCAGCATTTATTTTTAAAAAAACTGGCGGGATTAAACCTATAAACACAAGGCATTCTAACTATAGTTTAAATGTAAATAGTTTAATTTTTAAACCAGCATGGCGTCAACGTAAACTTAATTTCTAGAGGCGAATTTGTCTGCACTGCGACTAGGCTACGGCCGAAAAGCCCTACCGTGGCTCATTGAAGAGCTGTGGTGTGAAATTTTAGAGGTGGCTCGGCAGCGGACGGTAGAAAAACGTAAAAACCATGTCGTGCAAAAGTATGATTTATGTCAAACGAAGAAGCTACGCGGTTTGTAATACTACCGAAGATAGAATAAGAACCTAGTTAACAAAAGAAGCTCATGTTGTATACATTTGTATTTTTATTCACATCGAACTCGTACGACAAAAATGTAGCTTGAAATCAGCTACCAAATCGCTGTCTTACTCCTTGTCATTATACGCTCCCGATTAGATATATAAACAAAGTCAAATTATAGAATAAGGGTAAGGGTGTTTAAAATTTAATTAACAAGCTTTCGATATTACATCTCTTCATCAGGTCAGCAGACATTGGAATGGAGAGATGAATTGTAACGACAGAATTGTAAACGGGAGCGCATTTTAATACGCTCCGTTCCTGAACGTAGACGGATATCCAAAACATCTAAAGCGAGGGCATGAACTCCCTCAACGCATGATTCGCCACACGAAACAAACCTGTGACGGTCTAAGAATATCGATTGCGGCGGCATGTACCAATAGCCCAGTGTTTTTATGACCGCATAACAATAAGTTCATATGTCGCAGGGTTATCGTGGGCAGTGAGGGCATGACCAGTGACACCTGACACGCACGTAATCAAAGCTGTTAACTGAATTCGTCACTTTTCTTTACGTAGAAAGTGACTATTTTTAATTAGTTTAGATATCTAGAAGCCAATGTAAACTGTATATATTTCAAGTTCTAGGCACTTGTAACTTTGCGGATATGCGGCAGCATTGATCTATGCATGGGGGTACGAAGGCTGGGAGTAAGAAAAAGAAGTAAAACCTTTCCCAGAAGCTAATTGTTTGTTCCTTTTGACAACTTGAAAAGGATGTTCAAGTGCTATAAATAATGTGTTTCAGAATAGCTTAGAATGAACCAAATTGCACCATTTTCTTAACAATTTCCGAAGGAACATGCCCCCGGACGCCCCTAAGATGGCGATCACCTTCGTGCTCGCAATGCTCACTTCTCGGATTGCGCAACCACCAAAACAAATTTACCGCCCGCTGACCTTCTTAGCAGGGAAGCATGCTATATATATATAATATATATATATATATAATATATATATATATATTAATATAACTAGAAAAGTTTTATGATTTATACATTTTATTTATTTGTTCACTAGACGGCCTGTTATACCCTGCCACAGCGCGGTGAACTCTGTGCAGCTAATGGTCTTCGTTAGGCAGCCACACCTGCCGTCACACTCGTCTCCGTTAGTCGCCTGTGCAATGCGTGGATCAGTTCGAGGAATCGTCGAATCGATGGAGAGATTGTGTGGCGTGTCCAACCAATGTCATACGACAACTCACTAACATCGACAATATAGGATAAAACGAATTACTACATACACTACATACACCAGGCAAACCCACGTCACACGGAATACTCACTAACATCGACAATATAGATATAACCACTGAATTACTACATACACTTACATACACCAGGCAAACCCACGTCACACGGAATACTCACTAACATCGACAATATAGATATAACCACTGAATTACTGCATACACTACATACACCAGGCGAACCCACGTCACACGGACTACTCACTAACATCGACAATATAGATATAACCACTGAATTACTGTATACACTACATACACCAGGCGAACCCACATCACACGGAATACTCACTAACATCGACAATATAGATTATAACCACTGAATTTACTAAATACTCCTACATACACCAGGCGAACCCACGTCACACGGAATACTGACTAATACCTGCCAAAAGACGCGCGCACGCGCGCATACACGCTTTTGCGCACGCGCACACACTTTCATCACCTTACCGCTATAGTCAATGCTGAAGCTGACCGAATAACCGTGGTTGTCTGAGATGATGATGAGCACCTCATTAGCTGATGATGTTTCGGCAGTAAATCCTCCGTCATTGTAAGTACAGTATCTTAAATAAACATTTAAAATAGGAATTCAACGACGACGACCGACGTTTACTACGACGATAACAACAATATAATAATAATAATAATAATAATATAATATAATAATACTAATAATAATAATGAGATCGTAATTAGCAGGATGTGGAATACTAAGACGAGAATTTGTGGCTAGTGTGGTTGGAGCCCTTGGCTCTATAAAGAATGGGTTGAGAATAACCTTAAGGAATCCCTGGCCACACACACTGCCTAATAAGTGCAGAAAATCGCACTACTGGGAACAGCACATTCTGCACAAAATTCTGGATTGAATCCTATGTCCCAGGTTGAGACACGGTCAACCCATCACCTAATCACCATCATCATCATCATCATCATCATCATCATCATCATAATAATAATAATAATAATAATAATACAAATTTTTAAATCCATACAAATATTTATAATATTTTTGTTAAAATCTTCAAATTTTATGATATAATAATTCATGAATATCTAAATGTTATTATGATAGTATTCAGGATTCAATCTGTTCTGATCCAGGTTGGGATACGGTCAACCCAGAAGCCACCGGCTAATGCTGTGATCCACTTTGGAAATAATAACAATAACAATAACAATAATATTTGGAAATATTGCCCTCTCTACAACACGCCAGGATGACACAGTCCTATTGAATTTACGGAGAACCCTGTGGCGACGTGGTGCGGTTAGAAATGCCAATATATATATATATATATTTATTATATGAATACCTGTGACCGATAATCTCTGTGTTCGTTCGGACCTCCAGGTGATCTGGACATCCCAGCTGAGGAAGCGGGTTTCCGTCGGGATCCACGTAATAGGCGGTGTCGATACTACTCAGTCGGACTGTTATGACGCTGTTAGCATGCGACTGGAAACGTAATATATACTTAATTAAACACACATGTACATGGGTAAACAGTAATTAGTCTGTAATTAGTAGTGTGTTAGTTAAAAACAGCATTACATTAGGGGGGTAAATGAACGATGTGCTGAGATTTGTAAGTCGAAGCACAGAAATGACGCCTTTGGCGTGCGACTCGAACATAGTAATAGTAAAACTAAATACATAGCATATGAAATGTCTTAAATTATTAAATTGTTAATAGTAAATATAGTAAATTTAGTAACGCAAAAATTAGTATATGATATATAACTATCATAACATCACGTGTAAGCAACGTGTTACGTATATCTAACGTATTTTTCACGACCCTATTTATTTATTTTATAATGGGCATATAACATATTAATAATAACAGGTTATTTTTCACGTCTACTACTTGGCTTTATTTACTTTCTGTGTATACACTGATATATTTAGTTTAACATTTTAATCGGTCTATTATATTCTCCAGAATTCACGAAAAACACGCGTTGCCAAATGTTGATTTCTATATCAAATTAATTCCATTGTTTGACATTGTACTACAGTTAACACCCGCGTTACGAAGATGTGAGGTACGTGAATTCGATCATGCGGATTTTGTAAATTATGACCACTAAATATAGTAAGCTTCGAGATACGGCACGAATGGAAAAGGACTGCTGTTCGACAGTGAAACCATCTCCGCAGAACCACGTGTGTGTTAGAGAAAGCACGTGGCCGAATGCCACTTTGGGCAATCACACTGTATGTAGTGTGGTGACAGACATACAGTGAATCTACCTCTATATAACGGCCACCTGTGTACGAATGCCATATGGGCGTTTCTCCTGGTTGAGGGTTACATGCATGTGTATCTACCGCAACTGTCGCGCGTTGACAACAACGCTAACTATGACCGCTTAAAACAACTTAACCGAGAACACTCTACTATTAGCAGACACTCACGCAGCAGGCTAATAGCGTAGACATATATAGTCATTACTCAGCTGACACTGCAAGTACGTGGGAGAAGTGACTTCTCTACATTATTGACGTATTTACCCTCAACAGCAAGGACGTCTTGAATGTGGTTTCGTCGGGAGAAACAGTGTCATTGATGGTTCCGCTATCACCACATGCGAGCTCTCTGATCTCACCGAACTTCGAGGCTGTGTAATTAAATGAATGAATGTCTCCATAAATGTATGAATGTATGTGTGTACGTGTTTTTGTGTGTGTGTGTGTGTGTGTGTGTGTGTGTGCGTGTGTAAACTTTTTATTTGCCACGACTTTAATTATTGAAACGGCCAAACTTTCTGTGCTTTGTGCTCTTACTTACAAGTTTGACTCTTAACGGGCCAGCTTCAAACCAATGTTCATACGCATCGATCGAATTAATCAAATACACAAGGTGAAGGTATATAAACACCTAAAATTTACAACAGCAACCACCTTCCATGGATGTTATAGATGGCAACTTACGCCACAAACATGTAAGCTGTGTAGTAGAGGCTAAAGGTGGTACCCGTCTTACAGCCTCGTACTGAAGCAAGCACATGACTTATTGACAAAGTTTATCAAAATTAAAAAACGCTTTTATTTAAAGGAACAGTAGCCTCTAGGTTCTAGGGTTATTTTCAGCTAATTTAGGTTATAATTGCGCTACATAAAAAGTTTCATGGTTCAATCACCATTAGAAATATTTTTTTTAATGTTTTAAATCTAACGACTACAGTTTGATTACAACGACGGTGGCGCCACTCAAAGCGCACGATCTGAGAAAATTGCGCAAAACCACTTTCTAGTCAAGGGCTACAGACCGAGGGTATTTCTTATTTATTCATTTAAAAGCAAAAGGATTGTAATATCTTATAAACGACATATAGTTTCAGTTATAATATGGATAAATTTGCCCTAAAATAAATATCGTTCGGTTAAATAGCATTTTAGGTATAAATATAATTGCATTTTGTGATTAGCCCTCGGTCATTTACCTGCAAAATAAAATGCAAATACGCAACTTTTCAGGTGGCAGCGGGTCCGGGTGTCATGGCGCCGTTCAAATTTCGTAGCGTTGATGTGTATAACCTTGAATTACAGTATAATGGTGACAAATACATGTGGGTATATAGACGTGATTGTATTACAGTAAGTAGCAGTTGTATGCATAAAATTGCTAGAGGCCTACTTGTCCTTTAATTTTAAATATCACTTAAAAATTTACAAGATATTCAAAGAAAAGTGTGTAAATTAAATGTTGCAACGTATATGAGAGCAAATAGCGCGTAGATCGTCTTAAATAACTTCTGGCAGTGGCTACGCGGTCCGGAACGGCGATACCTCCGGACATCCACTCACACACGCATGTGACAGCGTCGACTTGCCGTACACGCGATGATGCGCAACGGGACGCTCTGCTATTGCCTAAATATACAATATATGCAGCTGCTGCCGTCTAGTCCTTTCATACCGTCCTCTCTCTCTCTCGCCTCTCTTTCACACACACACACACACACAGCTCTCTCTCTCTCTCTCTCACCACACACACACACACACACACACAACACACACAACACAACACACACACAACACACACAGCACCCTCTAGTCCATCTCTCCTCCCTCTCTCCGTCTCTCTCTTTCTCCCTCCCTCTTCTGCTCTCTTCTTTCTCTCTCTGGTCTCTCTCTCTCGTCTCATCCTTCTCTCTCTCTCTCTCACTATTCCCTGTTCTAATAATCGTCCTGCTAATTATCTTCATGATCTTTGATAGTAATACTTAATCATAAGAAAGTAATAAACTTCATCATAGAATCATCACAGTAAATATTGGTTAAAATCAGGATGCGATTGCAAAACGGTTGCTGTATCGTCTAACATTTGATTCGTCGTTAATGTTGACAGTTGCTTGTGTGTATTGGTTCGGCGGTTATTGAAACTCTTAAATTTTTTAGTTCAACCTATATAAGATGTATAAATAAGTAATATATATGATATTTTTATTAGTTATTTATACATCTCCAGTCCGTTCAAAACAGTACCAGTGGTGATGGCACGGCCGATGGTGACTAAACCAGATTTTTTTCTAAATTTACCGAAATTTGCGCCGTCGTCCAGTTGTAATATTCGCGGAGCAAGTGAAGGCCGGATTGCGTAGCTTCCTTGCTGCGAGCTGGCTGCATAAAGCTGTCGCCGCGATCTGTGTGGTTTACCCCGTGTGGCGCACGGCCGCGGGCTATCTGGCGAAGTAGAATCATACTGCTGGCGTGTGTTATGCGTTGCGAGTCGATTGTGAAACCCCGAGTCCGCGAACCCTCATGTTCCGCGGGGGCCCGCAGCCAGACTCGCGACTGCGTGACGAAGCGCAACATATGTAGCCATGCACTGAAGTCATGGGCTCATCGTAGATGCCATATAATAAATGGTGCCTAAAAGGCTGAACACAGTGCTGCTGTGCTTTGGGGACGCGCGCCCTTGTACATCGTGCACGTGGTGCACTCTGGTGACCCAACGACACGCGTGTTGCCTGCGCTGCCGTCACCTGTCCCTCTCGGTAGTGTGCCAGGTGAAGTGGTTACTGTCCAGGCTGCGTTCGCGTGTGTTCCGAGGCCCGCGTGCTCCGCGCAGATCGCACACACCACTATGAGCTCCAACTGACATGCAACACTCGTGGCAGCACATGGCTTCCTCGTTATTTTGCATCCTGTCGCACTTTGCATCGCGTGCGCCCTTTCACACGACACACACACCAATGCATTCTCTCACATGAGCCTTGCAATCGGGGGAGCGATTTAACTGGTCAGAAGCCTCGATGTTCAGCCAAGCCACCGCTGTGGACACTGTACTCGTAGGAGGCTAAGATTAGAAGTTGCTCATTCGAGAGCTGGAATTGTCAAAAAGCACACTAGGCGAACACAGCACAAGGCTGCACCGCAATGAGCGATGCCCCAGTTTCAGTCTCGATCTAAAATATATCTAACAACCACCTCATGCCCTCCAAGCGCGCGGTGAAGCTAGGTCAAGCAATTTCTACCCGTAGCTCGCATGAGTCAGTATTTCATAAAGAAAAACTGTGGCGGTCGGCGTGTTGAGTTCGAAACCACAATATTTCCAAACACATCAGGTCTTTAATACGATACATCCGCTAAAATTATGTAAGAGATATTGTAGCAGATTCGCTTTGAAATCGTGCATCGATAGTCAACATATCGTTTTATCTCACCGCACGGGGTAGATGGCGGGGTGCTGAGCGCGCATTATGACACAGTCGTCTTAGAGTGAAGTCGAGAACAAAGGAAAACCATACGCCTGTCAGTGTACTCTTCGTCGTGCCTCTGCCAGCTGTCGGTTTTTGGTCATTACCCACGTTCGTTCTCCGCTACGCCACCTGGGGCACCCATCGCCCCCATTCTGCAGATCTCAGGTGAATCTTGCCAAGTAGCAGGTTCAGGTATTGTAATTGGGGCATCGTGGTCGTGGGGAGCAGTAAGAGTGTGAGCAGACCGCCGCAAGAGCACTAGGGCTCCGAAGTTTGCGTATGATCAGATGTCACGTATACCTGAGGCGTCGCAAATAGATGAATACTGTCATATACCCGTGTACGTATGTAGCGCGACGAGCTTGATGCCTGACTACAGAGTAGCCCTTGAATAGCCATTGTGAAGAACCATTAGTGCACGTGTGGTAGCTGAAAGTAAGTTATAAGCAGCGCGATATTTTGACAAAAGTCGTCCGAAAATATGCGTCACACAGCGGGTAAATCAGGCAAGACTCCTTGGACAACGTAGGATTGTGGCGTAGACGAATAGGATAAAGTTCAATGGTAGAAGGTAACTATATTCGGATAGCGTAGGTGACGGAGGGAGGAAGGAAAACTTTCATATACTGTGTGTTTATTTAATTATGAGAAGAATCTGTATCACTTTTATAGGGTTGGTAGATTCCTACTACTAGTGTTTCTGGTATTCCTAGCCAGGAGCGTGCTGGAGAGACGTCCGACACTGTGTTTTGTCGTTTCTGCTATGTGCCCAGTTGCGGAAAGTCTTCTCCAATACAGAGCTAAGTGCCGGGCTGTACGGACTTCGGTGCGCCATCTACGGAATCCGAAGCTTTTGAACCAAGTTTAGCTGTAAGTGACCGATAACGTGAATGTCTATTTATAATGACCTTGTAGTGCGGGCTGAGCGCGCTGTGCAGAGTGTTAATGGCTCCAGGCGCGAGTTAGCTGCAATACGTGAACGCCCGTAACATTTGACGGTGCGGCGAGCGATCATATGGTTCGTGTATCCGCGGAACGTCTTCCGTGCTCTCGCCGTTGCCGAGAAGCGGCACGAGAAGGCGCTGTAGCGAAGACTCGAACGAGACGCAGAGGGATGAAGGAAACCGTTTAGCACATATTGACCACGAGGCCGTAAAACCAGGATTCGCGACGTGAGGCGAGACGGCCGTACCCCGACCATCTATCCGAAATCGAAGCAGAAGTTTAAATGTACATGTCGGTTGGAGCCGTAGAGAGTGGAAAGATGCAGGGCGTTGCCAAGCGCTTGGGAAACTGGAGCCAACCACCATCGCCATGCCCGCCACCCTCACAACACCCGCGAAGCAATGAAGGGGGAAAGAAGAAATATGGCGATAGTTTCCGAGGACAGTGTTAGAGATGGTGAGCGAGGAGCTGAAAACGAAAGTTGGCAGCCGGTTCGGCGTGTGGAGGCTGCGTTGAGCGACGATTCATGAGTATCAGTGTTACATGGGACACGAGGAGGCGAAAAAACCCGAAAAGTTCGCCTGGACATCGCCACCGCACTGCACGTGCGTGTTTCGTCACTACAGTGCGCGCGACTGGCTGCGAAGGTGCATAGGAGGATGTTCAGATGAAACGCAGCGAGGAGCGAGAAGAACGAAAGGTGTTGGACGACTGCCCGCTGACTCGTGGCAGTGGGACCTTCGCTGCCTGGTAGTTCTTCGAGATTAGAGTGCTTAGGATGAAAAGGAACGAGCGACGGAACCGAAAAAGCGAAAGTTGGAGCAGCCCTGGTCACGTGAGTCTTTGCTGCGTGATAGTTTCAGAAGGGCAAACGAAGAGCAATTGAGGACGTAAGAAACCTGTGAAACGAGCAATAGACGGAAGCGTTGGTTGCCCAGGTCATGCGTGATCGCAAAAGGCATTATTTCGATCGCGAAGCAGCTGTCAACACGCTCCGACACACCGGCCGCTCCCTCACCGGCCTCGTATGAGGTCGTCAGACAAGACGCGGGTCAATCTCTCTAGCCAGCCGCGGCCGTAATGGCACGACGAAGTCTAAGCGTGAACTGAAGCGTAGGAGGCACTGGCGTCGGGAAGAGCAGCGGTGGCGGGCCAGCTCCGACAGACCAAGGACCGCTGACCAGCACGCCACATTCAGGAGAATCCCTTGAGCACTGGCTCATAGACTGAAAGGTGCTTGATTGAAAAGGAAGGTCCTCGCGTTCAGGGCCTCCGCAAGAAGTGTGGTGAGAAGAAGCTTTCGCTGTCCGTCCGCTAAAGAAGGTCTGAGGCGAGAGAAGACAGTCCTCCGTCTCTGCCTGCAGATATGAATAACGGTGGAGCCCCAATAAGAGAGAGCTTCTGCCTGTCAGCTGCGCCTATGCAGAAAAGCATGAAGCGAGATAAAGTAAATGTACCTCGCTAAGTCCGGTACCGTGGCACCCCGCCTGCAGAACGATCCAAAAAGTGATAAGGAACGCCTAGTCCATGTTGACCTCGCCGCGTCGCCTGCGAAAGAGCTGAGACGGAGAGGGAAGCTGCCGAGTGGCAGCCCCGTGTGCTGCTGTCCCCCGGTCCCAACGCTGA